GGCTTTATTACATGTTCATAACAATGGACTTTATTACATGTTCATTACATAATGGGTTTATCACATGTCTATTACATTATGGGCTTTATTACATGTTAATTACATCATGGGCTTTATTACATGTCTATTACATTATGTACTCCATTACATGTTACAATATAGACTTTATGACATTATGGACTCATGTTTATTACATAATAGGGCTTTATTACATGTTCATAACAATGGACTTTATTACATGTTCATTACATAATGGGTTTATTACATGTCTATTACATTATGTAACTTATTACATGTTTATTACATCATGGGCTTTATTACATGTCTATTACATTATGTACCTTATTACATGTTTATCACATTATGGAATTCACTACATCATGGACTTATTTAAATAATTGACTTTATTATATGTTTATTATATAATGGGCTTTGGTACATGTTAATTACATTATGTACCTTATTACATGTTTATTACATCATCAGCTATATTTCATGTTAAATACATTATGGTCTTTATTACATGTTTATTGATATTATTCGGGTCATTGTTACATAGCCCCCTTCTCTAAAGTGGGATAGGGTACTAAAAGTTATGAAGAGGACTGGTTTGAAGGTCTGAATGGATTAAAGTTCTGGTTCTGTTCTGGAGTGTGTCACAGACTAAAACACACTCTCTGCATCATTTTCTTCACTACAGTTTTTACAGTTTTAAGTGTTTTTTTTAAGCCTTTGTTTTTGAAATGTTTATTTCCCTGATTTCGTTGGTCTGGTTCATAACGGACACAGAAATGCTAACAGACTTTATACGTACCGATAAACCAGCCCGTCTGTCTCCCTCCGAACCGTCTCGAACTGTGCAGGATGAAGCTGCTGATTATCAGGCTGGACCATCGAGCCACAGCATTCAACAACTTACAGTCAAATCCACTCGCTCTGTGAGGCCGGCAGCTTTCAGGTGATGGACTGCGAGCGTTTCTGAGAAGGTCAGCGTATGTCAGAGGCGATGGTAAACACAGGTCATCCGTTTGGTGAAATAATGTGTTTTTGTTGTCAGCACAGCGGTCCGGGTCGCCTGATGTTCTGGTGCGGCAGTATTTCACTGTAAATGGGTCTCAGCTTTGAAAGTGAAATGATGATGTAATCAGTCAGTGAAGACTTTAAAGGGTTCAGTGATGACATGGAGAAGGACAGGATAGTCAAATCTCTGAATAAACACGGCTGTTATTTCAAAGTTATTTCTGCTTTAAAAACCAGATCTGATCGCTCTCCAACAGTCCCTCCTGCTGCGTTCCTTTTACGATTGTTTTCTGGTGCGCCGCTGTGGGTTGGTTCGTTGAGGAGGAATACTGATCAGATGCTAAAATGTTTTCTCTGATAAACAATTTAAAATATTTGTCTTTATCCTCCTCAGAGTCTTCCTCTGCGCCTCTGTCTGCTGCTGCTGATTATTTATGACCAACATTGAACCCCCTGTAGAGCCGACAGGAGCCAGCGCCGTTACCCAGAATACCCGTCAAACCCGTGCAGCCTGCACGCCTCCATCACGCGGCGGCGGTGAAAATCCTCCTTTTTTAAGGGCTGCTTTGAAGTAAAAAGAATGATCATATCGCTGGAAGTATTAAAGTTCCCCAGAAGGAACCCTACAGTTTTATGAGTTTTATGGCCGCTGTCTTTTTACACATTTGACCGCCTTCCTGCAGCAAGTCGAAGACGAAGTTAATGTGTGACGGAGAGAAAGTCAAAGGCAAACTTGGCTGATTACAGCCATAACTCCTGCACATACTAATTACCAGTGGCTGTAAAATAAGTCAAACTGGTCATCCTAATGAGTCCACCAGAGACCGATTGTTAAAGTCCATTAAAAAGATCTATTTTCCTTCTTTCTGTTTTATTTGTGTTTTACTCGGCCCGCCGCCGCCGCCGCCGCCGTCAGCGTCCTCTTATCAAGAGAAACCAAACAAAGTCTGTTTAAAGGTCATGACGCTGCAAACACTCTAAAAACTGTAATGAATGTGGAGTTTACCCTGACATCCACTCTTTCACTGAGTCTCTTCATTAACTCTGTGTGTGTGTGTGTGTGTGTGTGTGCGTGTGTGTGTGTGTAGACAGAGTTCGTCTTGAGGTGGGTCAGCCTCCACCTTAACGAGCTCAGATACACAGACCCTCTCCTGTTTCTGAGTTCCTGGATCCTCCATCATCGTCACGGACCTTCATGGAAAACTTCAGGTCTTTGTTCTCGTGGTTCAAATCAAAGTCCAGGAGAACCTCAACAGAGTCAAAGATCTGAACGTCTGCAGACTCTCCTGTAGACCCATTTGGACCAGATGAAGTAGAGGGACTCTTGTTCAGCTCAGGAGCTTCATGGCTCAGACCAGGACCAGACCAGGACCTTCAGTATGTGACGTACGGACCGCCATAAAGAGATGGTCGACTTGGAGCTCCACCTTCGCCCCCGATCCTGACTCCACCTGTGCTGGTTTCAAACATCTGGACTCTTGGATGTGGAAAACTGTCCTGAGGTCTGATGGATCAGACCTGTTCTCAGCTCCCGGTCCAAATCCAGCATCCTTGATGGTCTGGGGATCATCAGAGTCCATGTCATGGGTATCTTCCACATTTGTGAAGGCTCCATTGATTTGTGAGGCGAATTTCATAATTGCGAGAACTCTCAAGGACCTGCGGATTCAGTAGACGTTCAGGATGAAGAGGACAGCTGGACTAGAGACACTTCACCTCAGGCAGAACGTCTCAAGTCCAGTTGTCCTTTCAAAATGGAAGTGGAAATCATAGATGCTGCATCTCCAGGTCTAGGAGGAACATCTGCGTCCATCCATACAAAGAGTTTTTCAGGGAAGACCTTCAGATGATCCCAAACAGCATGGTTCTGTAGGAGAAGAGTCCTGCTGAGGAACTGGACTGATGCAGTCCTGACTTGTCTCCTATTAGAAACATTTGGACCATCGTGACCCCAAAACCAGGACCAAGGAGACCCTGAACTGTGGATCAGCTGAGATCCTCGATCAGGACAGACTGGGACAACATTCAGAACTATAACGACACCGTGAAGATGAGTAAGGTCCAGTATTATGTGTATGTTGTTTGTTGTGTTGTTTGTTGTGTTGTTTGTTTGTTGTTTGTTGTGTTGTAGACTGTTGTGAGTTGTTGTGGTTGTTGACGTTGTCTTTGTGTTTGTGACAGGATGTCTTTTTTGTGTCTTTGCTCTGAGATGGAGAGCTCACTGTAAATGTAGACTCCAGGAAGAAGATCAGTGGCCTTGGACTGTCAGACTCCAGAACCTGGTCTGCTGGGTTCACTAAGGTCTACAGAGGGGCTGAGGGTTTTCGATGAGGACCATGAACCTAAATCGACTTTTTAGAAACATCGTTGGATCTAAAATGAGACTTTTCCTAAAACAAGAATGTTTCCAGGTTCAACATTCGAGGAGATTTCTGCACGTTGACGAAACGATCACACTTTCACAGACACATGGAGCTTTCATTATGTTCATGAACCTCTGCCAAAGTATTCAGAGATACCTTCAACCTTCAAAGTCAGGAGGAAGAACAAAGTTGTCGTCTCAGCGCCGTGGTCGTGTGTCAGCAGCGTTTCCTCCTGAGCGTGTTGTTGTTGTCTGGAAACAAACGCGGAGGTTTGCGTCTGAACTCATGAAAACTGCGAGCTCCTTTAGCCCGCAGGTATGAATTTAAAGATTCAACATATGGATCAACATGTTCCTCCATACAGGAGCGGAGATAATGAGCGCCTCCCTCCTCCTCCTTCTCCCAGTAAGAATACGTATAAACCCTCCATACGCGCCCGCACAGACTCGGCGCTCGCTCTCCATTGTATGGTGATGAAAGGCCGATCATCGGGGAGCGAGCGGCTGTTATTTTGGCTCGGCTAATGTTGCAGCTCTATACGTGCCATCCATCGCCCGAGCATCCAGGGACTCCCGGGGCCGTAAAACCCTGCAGGGTGGGTAGAATCTAATAAAACGCACTTGACGTTTTAATTGCATTTTCCTCATCAAGGAGTAATCTGCAAGATGGTTGTGGCATTTCTGTTGAGACCAATAAGGCTGATATTATGATCAGTCATTTCTCTGATAAACACGCCGCGCTCGCTCGCTCGCTCGCTCTCACTTCCTGTGTGAGGAATATTGAAACCAAGAGGCTCACACACGCTTGCATCATTTCATCTGACGCCGTGGTGGACGTCCCGTGTTTTTGGGGTAAATATTGTCTTATGCAATGTTTGTGCGTTAGTGTGAGTCTCCGATGAAACGTTGTGTAACCGCTCGCTCTGACAGCTTCTGAACACGCCGTAAACGGACTCAACGCCGATCCTGGACCTGCTGCGGGTTTCTGACCTTAGAGCGAGCGAGCGAGCGAGCGAGCGAGCGAGCGTCCCTGCAGGGTGACGCCACCATTATGTGGCCCATAGTGGCTTTCAATTAGCAGACTCTGAACTCTGAGGGCCTCAAAGACTTTTCACCGCTGGAGAAACAAGTCCTGGAGAATCAAGTCCTGGAGAGACAAGTCCTGGAGAGACAAGTCCTGGAGAAACAAGTCCTGGAGAAACAAGTCCTGGAGAAACAAGTCCTGGAGAAACAAGTCCTGGAGAAACAAGTCCTGGAGAAACAAGTCCTGGAGAAACAAGTCCTGGAGAAACAAGTCCTGCAGAAACAAGTCCTGGAGAATCAAGTCCTGGAGAATCAAGTCCTGGAGAATCAAGTCCTGGAGAAACAAGTCCTGCAGAAACAAGTCCTGGAGAAACAAGTCCTGGAGAAACAAGTCCTGGAGAATCAAGTCCTGGAGAAACGAGTCCTGAAACGGACGGTCCTGGTCTTGCTCTGGAGTTTGATCTTGATTTTGAACCATATTTGGTCTGGACCACATCTCAGAGGAAAAAGTTCTTCTTCTTCTCTTCTTCTTCTCTTTTTCTTCTTCTTCTTCTCCTCCTTTTCTTCTCCATCTTCCTCTCTGATAAAACCACCCTCACCTGTCGCTGTGATGATGGAGGTTCCTGCAGCTGCTGCCTCCATCTCTCTGATTCTCGCCCTGATCTAAAGAAAACATGGCGGCCGTCTGTTCCTGTCTGAGGTTAAACGTGTGCGTCTCTCGCTCCCTCACGGCTTTAACGGCGGCACAAAGACCAGTAATTGGAACTAGTGAGCTAAAGCTACAAACAATCTCCTCCTCCTCCTTCTCCTCCTCCTCCTCCTCCTCCTCCTTCTTCTTCTTCTTCTTCTCCCAGGGTCCAAATTTACACTTTGAATGGCAGAAGAAGAAGAAAAAAAGATCTTTCAATTAGTCCTTTTCTCTTTTCCCCGCACATTTAAATTGGAAGTGATCTCAGAGGAAATACTGATCATTTTAATGACGGCCTCCATTCATTAAAGCCCCCCCCCCCCTCCTGTGGATTCAGAGCAGAGTCCTACAAAAGCCCCGCTTCAATTACCTCACACTTAACCCGCCCTCCACCTTCACACGCCGGCCCCCCGGCCCCCGACGTGCGGCCCTGAGAGCCCCGCGCTCAGCCTCCAGAACCGGAGCTGCTGTCTGATAGACTGGCATCCTCCACCAGTCGACCTGTCTGTCAAAACTGACACAGAGGTCAAAGGTCAAACATGCAGAAGTTGAAAATAACCTCCGACCTCCACCTTCATCCTGATCGTCTCCTAAAAGGTCGTATCCTCCGATCGTAGCTGATCGTAAACATTCAAGTTAACGTGTCAATTTACACCGACTTCTTTCCGTTCCTCTGAGGATCGCCGGACTCCTCAGCTGATCACAAGAGTTCTATTTTTTCTGGACGCCGGAGCATGGCGGATAAATTCAGCACAGATTAACCCGTGCTGGAAAGGAAGTCGGGCACAGACACAAAATAAAACATCTGTCTTCTTTTCAAAATAAAACACTCCGTGTTTCAGGAGGATCGTATTTCACACCATGCAAACGGGCGGAGACGAACAAGTGAAAGGTTTTTAGACGTCATTTCACCCCGATGACACCATGGATGAGGAGATGCTGATTCTAGAAGTCCTCTGGAAGGACACAATCTACTGCTTATATGTCTATGTGTCTGTCTTTAGAGAGACAACTCATTATCGAGTGATTGAACGTGAATCTGAGGGTTCTTGTGATTCCTGCTGCCCGCCATGAAATTCGCCTCACAAACTGATCTGATAGAAGTTGGCGGACGGCGAGAATCGCTGCCGTTCATGATGTGGTGAACACTGGGGGTAACTTTGTTCTTAGAGAAGCTCCCAATAAAAAAAACACATTTACCACAAACAGACATGAGACCTCCTGAAACCTGCAGCCCCCCCACACAGGTCCTGGACCCCCCAACAGTTCAGGTCTTTATCCAGCTGGGCTGAAAAACAAACGGCTGAATGTCCGAAGTCCTGACAGGAGGATCATCTGACGATCAAAGAGACACACACACACACACACACACACAGACACACACACACACACACACACACACACACACACACAGTCAAAGGTCACATGTCCTGTCTCTTTACCTTTAATTTAATACAACGAATTAGTTCATCCCTTTTTTTACTTCCTATTCCTCTTCCTCTCTTCCTCTCTTCACCCTCCTTGTCCTCTTCCTCCCCCGCTTCCTCTCTCCTCAATCCTCTCTCTTCCTTCCTCTCGTCCTTCCTCTTTTCCTCCCTCTCTCCTCTTCCTTCCTCCCTCTCTTCCTCCCTCTCTTCCTCCCTCCTCGTTCTCTTCCTCTGTCTCTTCCTCCTTCCTCTTCCTCCCTCTCTCCCACATACTTCCTCCTCTTCCTCCCTCTCTTCCTCTCTTCCTCCCTCCTCCTTCCTCTCTCCTCCCTCTTCCTCTTCTTCCTCTTCTTCCTCCCTCTCTTCCTCTCTTCTTCTCTCCTCTTCCTCCTCTTCCTCCCTCTCTTCCTCTCTTCCTCCCTCCTCCTTCCTCTCTCCTCCCTCTTCCTCTTCTTCCTCTTCTTCCTCCCTCTCTTCCTCTCTTCCTCCCTCCCTCCTCTTCCTCCCTCTCTTCCTCTGTCTCTTCCTCTCTTCCTCCCTCTCTTCCTCTCTTCCTCCTTCCTCTGTCTCTTCCTCCCTCTCTTCCTCTGTCTCTTCCTCTCTTCCTCTCTCCTCCTCTTCTCCCTCCCTCTCTTCCCTGTGTACGGTTGCGTTGCTGCAGTATTCCTCGGCGGCGGCGGTGGTTGTTTTTCCTTTTTTGGTTCCCGTAGCTCCTGATTGGTCGTGGTTGTTGGAGTATCTGAACATGTTTTGGCGCCGCTGGCAGCTAAACGATGTGAACAGACCCTCGACTACAATCCTGATGAAATCAAAGCGTTTCGCTTGTTTCTTTTTGTTTGAGCGTCTCATTAATCGGATAAACATCAAACAGAATCCAGGATGACGAATCAAACGCCGCTCATCAGCTGGTCTGTTTCTGTGGATCTGAACCGCGCTCCCATAATTACCGATTTCTCTGCCGCTCATTTGCATGTGGAGGAAGTCTGCGGGAGAAGAGGCGGCGGCGGCGGCGGCGGCGGCGGGGTCTCACCTGAGGGCCGACACTGTTACACCTTTTCAAACGGCAGAAACAACATTTGATCAGGGACTGTTTCCTCTCAACAACACTCGGAATGTTTCCGGATCCTTCTCGGGATGGAAATGAGCGCCGCAGCGCATTAGACAGTCAGAGCACAGCGGCGTGTTTTCAGCCTCCTCTCGTTGTGTAATTAGGGCCCAAATGTTAATGAATTATGCTAATTCACAACAATTAGCATATAATATTGGAGACAATCAACAATTAGCATATGCTGCGCTGAAGACAATCAGAAGCTGCTGCGGTCCCACGCCGACGCTCGGCCTGATGTATAGAAGCAGCACGCCACGCTCATCTGATTACATGCAGAATCAGCATGCTAATTACTGCAGCCCCCCCAACACACACACACACACACACACACACACACACACACACACACACACACACACACACACACACACACACACTCTCTGTACTGCAGCTCCACAGGGAGGAGGAGAGGAGGAGGTGGACACCCTCAACACAAAGAGGAGGAAGCGACGGGCTGACAGGATGAGGGTGATGTGTCAGATGTTTGTCCTGATCTCCTCCTGCTCCTCCTGCTCCTCTGAAGGAGGAGTTCAGGTTGTTCACACTGATCCTCTGATGAAGACGTTTGTCCACATCAGCTGAAGGACGTCAGACAGAAACAAGATGAACAAGATCTAGAACTGGAAATCATAGATGCTGCATCCTCAGTCCATCGGGCCAGTCCATTACGGACTACAGCGGGGTTTCGCAGCTCAAGGAAGAACATTTATGATCATTTCTTTATCATTTCCTTGAAGTAATAATCACCATATTAATCATTTTACAGACGCGGTCGTTCTTCTGTCTTAGAGAAGAAATGATCATAAATGTTCTTCCTTGAGCTGCGGCACCCCGCTGTAGTCTGTAATGGACTGGCCTGAGGTCTCACTACAAACAAGCGTCTGCTGGAAGAGAGTAGGTGAGTTGTGTTTAGTCTTGCTATAGAGTGGCGTTTTGGTTGGGGGCGTGGCTCTCTGTATTTCTATCCTGTGGTCGTTACTAAAGTTGGTATAACTAGAGAAGCAAGCGGTCGACAACATTCATCTCTGGAGGCGGGGTCTAACTCGGTGTTACTGTGAGTTTGACCAAAAATTAGTTTTACGACAGAATGTCCCTTTAAACGCTCGCTGATCTCGGATCGTTTCGGCGCTGACACGTTTGGCTTCTTCTGCAGGTTCCCAGGGTGCTCAGCTCGAGGCCCCGGGCCCCTCACAGCCCCTGACATCTCCTGATCTCAGCAGCAGTTGGCTGCAGGCCTGCAGGCGGGGCGTGGAGCCGGGACCTGGGTCCTGGACCTGGGTCCTGGACATCCATTTGGAACTCATTAAAGATCTCCAGCGGACACGGGGGCCCCGGTTCCCACATCCTCGGGGACCTCGCACCGTCTGAGCTCATTTACAGAGCGTCCTCTCCCACTGACAGCCGCTAATTCGCATTTGAATTTAGGTCACATTGATCTGGGCCGCGGTCCAAACCCGGTCCCCGAGGAACCGGAGGAGCCAACGAGCAGCCGGGCAGAGAGAGAGGAGGATCTTCACTCCTCCTCCTCCTCCTCCTCCGCTCTCCTCTCTGAGCGCCGCAGTTGGACGGCGGCATGGAGCGGCTTCGACCCTGAAACAGACTGCAGCACCGCGGGTCGGGACGTCTACGTGACCATCATTTCAGACGTGATGCTGCGACGGCGGCGGCGGCGGCGGGGAAGAATCGGAACATTCAGAAAATCAGAAAATCAACTTTTTACACTTGAAGCAGAAAAACGGAGTTTATCGGGTCTGAACTTTGACCCTCCTCAGCTGCCACACTCTACAGTCCACTTCCTGTTTCCATGACGACCATCATAAAGGGCTGTTTCCTGTTTTTAGGATGTGATTGAACGGGGCCAGCTGGAGGTCAAAGGTCGCAGTTTCGGTTAGAAAATCAAACAAAAGAGACGAAGACTGTCGACGAGAGCGGGGACGGTTAATCAATACTGAACAGATCATTCATCCATTCACCAACTCATCCATTCATCCGTTCATTTTATACAGCCTGTAAAGGTGACCCTGACAGTCATCAGCAGGAACCTTTTAGTTCCTCACAGAGAAGATCCTGGAACCTGCAGATATCAGAGGAACTGAAGAGGAACTAAAGAGGAACTAAAGAGGAACTAAAGAGGAACTGAAGAGGAACTAAAGAGGAACTAAAGAGGAACCAAAGAGGAACTAAAGAGGAACTAAAGAGGAACCAAAGAGGAACTAAAGAGGAACTAAAGAGGAACTAAAGAGGAACTAAAGAGGAACCAAAGAGGAACTAAAGAGGAACTGAAGAGGAACTAAAGAGGAACTAAAGAGGACCAAAGAGGAACTAAAGAGGGACCAAAGAGGAACTAAAGAGGAACTAAAGAGGAACTAAAGAGGAACTAAAGAGGAACTAAAGAGGGACTAAAGAGGAACTAAAGAGGAACTAAAGAAGAACTAAAGAGGAACTAAAGAGGAACCGAAGAGGAACTAAAGAGGAACTAAAGAGGAACTAAAGAAGAACTAAAGAGGAACTAATGAGGAACTAAAGAAGAACCAAAGAGGAACCGAAGAGGAACTAAAGAGGAACTAAAGAGAAACTAAAGAGGAACTAAAGAGGAACCAAAGAGGAAGAAGAGGAACTAAAGGGGAACCAAAGAGGAACTAAAGAGGACCTAAAGAGAAACTAAAGAAGAACCAAAGAGGAACCAAAGAGAAACTAAAGAGGAACTGAAGAAGAACCTTCTGGATCTTTGAGTTCAGGTTCAGACTGACGGATGATTTTCACACCAAGAGAAGAAAGTTTCTCTTTCACCTTCAGCTCCTGTTTCTATTTTTAACACACACCTGCTCACCTGCGCGGTCTCACACACACACACACACACACACACACACACACACACACACACACACACACACACGCACACACACACACACACACACTCAGAAGGTGTTTTCTGACTGAAGCTCCAGGATCGGTTTCACAGACGATGACGCTTCATTTAAAGGTGTCCAGGTGAGCCGCCATGATGCGTCCCCTGACATCATCATCATCAGATGACGGCCCACGCTCCCCTCCCCCTCCTCCTTCGTCGTCTTCATTACTGACCGTTTTGTGGTCGGGCGCCGCTCTGTCGTTCTTGATGTTTGGTATAAATGATTTCTCTCATCACCTGCAGCTGCTCGCCGCCGCCGCCGCCGCCACGATGGTCTGAAATAAATAACCCTTCAGAGGGAGATAAATAACTCCTCCAGAGTCCCGCTCCTCTGTGAAGAAGAGAAGGAGGAGGCTGAGGAAGAGGAGAACCTCCTGCCTCCTCTTCTCCCCACACTCGGAGCCTCCTCTCGTATTAATTTCAGAGCAGATTGCAGAGAAGAATTAATGCATTTTTCAGCAGCAGCAGCAGCAGCAGCCGGCCTCACATCTCTCAAGAACTCAATTACTCTCAACATTTAAAATAAATAAATTAAAGGTGTCCTGAACGCGGCAGCTGCATCATTACAAGTGCTCCTGGGAGACCAAATTAAGCCGCAGAATGTATATCTAATATACAACCCCACTAATGATACGTGTTAAAGGAGGCAGCATGTAGGCGCTGCTTCAAAATTACACGGGTCATTACGGCGAGTTGAGACCGGATTTATCTGCTGCCAACAAAACACATAATTTGTTTTACCTGGTAATCACACAGGCCGGCTAATTACATGTGAACACCACAAAGTCTGCTTTTGGAGCGAGTGTGTGTGTGTGTGTGTGTGTGTGTGTCATAGACGCTACATAAACTTTAATTTTATACAAACTGATTCCAGTTTCATGGAATATTCAGCGGGTAATGTGTTTGTGTTTTCATACATTATTCTGTTTTTACGGCTTCAGCTTCTGTTTTTCTTTAAATAAAGCTGAAGTCGACTCTTATTGTCTCATTTTCCTCCTGTCATCCAATCCCAAGTGCAGACTCCGACCAACAACCACCACCGCCTCAAAACGATTCATGGACGCATAAAACAGACAAAACTCTCCTGTCATCGTCTGTGCAGGGCCGTTACCAGACTCTCTGGAGCGGGGTGGCCAGGACTGATAATAATACCACACTGGGCCCCCCCAACCATGACCAATATTTACATTTGTCTCCACAGGAAATCAAGTCTTTATTCAGAAGGTGAACACAGGAGTTTGTGTCCCAGACATGAACCAGAGACCACTGATTTAAGGTCTAATGAGGAGGTTCAGCCTCAGCCTGGATGATCCTGTACAGATATAAGTCTGGGTCTAAAGTAATCCTGAACCTTTGGACTACAAGACGAGGGCAGCAGTCTCAGATTAAAGCAGTCTACGCCTGTGAGAAGTCTAAGCTTTAGACTAGTCAAAGTCTATAGTAATCTAACTCTATAATGATCTATGTCTATAGTAGTCTAAGTCTATGTCAGTCTAAATCTATAGTAGTCTAAGTCTATGTCGGTCTAAGTCTATAGTAATCTAAGTCTATAGTAGTCTAAGTCTACACTAATGTAAGTCTATGTCAGTCTAAATCTATAGTAGACTGACTCTATAGTAGTCTAAGTCTATAGTAGACTGACTCTATAGTAGTCTAAGTCTATAGTAGACTGACTCTATAGTAGTCTAAGTCTATAGTAGACTGACTCTATAGTAGACTGACTCTATAGTAGTCTAAGTCTATAGTAGACTGACTCTATAGTAGACTGACTCTATAGTAGTCTAAGTCTATAGTAGACTGACTCTATAGTAGTCTAAGTCTATAGTAGTCTAAGTCTATAGTAGACTGACTCTATAGTAGTCTAAGTCTATAGTAGTCTAAGTCTAGGGTTGACTCAGTCCTTTTTGTTAATCCTCCCTGTTGGACTAATGAAGGATTATCTAATCTCAGTCTTTGTTAGTCTGGGTTTGTAGCGGCTCTAACCGTGAGTCTAACTTACAGGGAAGTTTTCAAACCCGAGCCGAAAAGGTGAGGGGGTGAGGGGGTGAGGAGGTGAGGGGGGAGGGGGGTCTACCTCCTGGACTCTGATTGGTGGTTTTTAAAGACCCCCCCCCCTTCAGTCTCAGGTCTTTATTCAGTTCAGAATCAGGAGTCTGTCGGTGGATTAAATCCGGTCTGGACTCAGTTTTAAGGGCCAGTTTTCATTAAAGTTCGAGTTTGTGGTTGACGTTGACAGGAAGTTGTGAAAAGATTTGGACTCCATCTTGAACTCAGAAGCTCCTCCTCCTCGTTGACGTGGATGTTGAAGTTTTTCTCAGGAGGTCAGACTCGTGCGGTCATGTGATCAAACAGGAAGTTGTTCACCTCCCGCTCTTAGACTGAATCTGATGAATGTGGACGTGAGCGAGCGTTTAGAGGAATTCCTGGAAAGCGCAGAAAAAAGCGTTTTAATTACATCCACGAACGTCGCCATCACAGCCTGCGTCGGACGGCGAACATCTGCATTTTAATCGATTTAGTTTCCTCCCCCTCCTCTTCCGCCTCTGTGTCTTTCGAGATCATTAACTTTATTGGATTGGACATTCCTGTTGCAAAAACAATTCAGCATAATCATTTGCAATGCAACTCCCCAGTGCGGGATGCAAATGCTGCTCCGCTCGCCGCCCCGGCCTGGCAATTACTGACGGAGCACAGATGCAGGCGGCCGCTCCGTCAGAATAAAGTCGAGCCTGCAAATAATGTGATTACTCAGTCATTACATATTGGAGTGCATTCATTAGAGCAGCAGAGGATTCTGGGCATTGTTGACATCGCCTTGGCAGAGCGCGGGACGTGACAGGATGTCAAGAACGTAACGCCCGTAATCTCATCTCCTCGGCGGCCTAAGACTCCCCGAACTCCAGCGAGCTTCAGATGAACGCCAGATGACTGTTAATGAGGAGGTGTCATGTGACTGCAGGTGGTGCAGGAGGAGCAGGTCAGGTGACACAGACGGGAAACACGATGGCGGCGTTTAGTTTCTGTTTCGGTTCAGAGGTTCGATGTAAAGGTCGGACCTGCAGCGTCATGGCGACATAATTCCTGTCCTCCGGGATTTACTGACAGTGGGAGGAAGTGTGTGTGTGTGTGTGTGTGTGTGTGTGTGTGTGTGTGTGTGTGTGTGTGTGAGTGTGTGTGTTGGAAACAGACCTGCTGTGAATATGAATGAATGAATGAATGAATGAAAATCTCGTTCTTTCTGTTAAACGTTGAATTCTCTTTAAAATGTTTGTTTTGATAGAAATTCACTCGGAGCTGCGAGGTTACAGACCTGATCATGTGACTCCCACGTTATTGAGACAGCTGACGAGGGTCAAAGGTCAGTCAGAGGTCAGTCAGGGAAAAAGTCAACTGTGCACCAACAGTCTCTCTGCAGACCCTCAGACCACCGTCTGCTCACGCTCAGGTCGTCTGTGATCGCTCTCCTCTCCGTGGATTTTACTGATCAGAACATTTGGACCAGGAACTCTTCAGGCTGTCAAACGGTTCTCTGAGGAACCATCATGCCGCTCTGGTACCGGGTCTAAGAGTGACCAGAACAAAAATCTTCACCTCAGCAAAAATACATGAAGCTTCTGAAATAAACCTTTTGACCGACCGGCTGAGAGAAACGGAGCGTAAAAAAAACACCTGCCAGGTGAACGTGTGAAATAAGAAAGATGACATGATAATGAAGATAATGAGGTAATGATGAGAAAATAATGACAGATACATCATAATGAAGATAATGAAGATATGATGAAGATAATATGATAATGAAGATTTTTAATTAAGACGATAAAATAATAAAGATGATATGATAATGAAGATAAGGAGGTAATGATGATATGATTATAATTAATATATGATAAAGACGATAATATGACGAGAAAGGTTTATAATTAAGGTGATATAATTATAAAGATGATATGATAATGAAGATAATGAGGTAATGATGATATAATAATGACAGATTAATCATAATGAAGATAATGAAGATATAATAAAGAGGATAATATGATATTGAAGAGTTATAATTAAGATGATTTGATAATTAAGGTGTGATAATGAAGATGATGAGATCATGTAAATGTGATGATAGAAATGTATGATAATGATTTTATAATTAAGATGATGATATAACGATGAAGAAAATATGATTTTGAAAAATTGATATAATAAAAATGATATGATCATAAAGATACTATAATGATGTTTCTATGATAATAATGATAATATGATATTAATCATGATATTATAATAAATGTTCTATGGTAGTGAAGATGATATCAGAATAAAGGTGATATGATAATGAGGATAAAATGATAATGAGGATAAAATGATGGATTGGGTTTATGAGTAAAATCTTTATTTCACTAAAACATCATCATGACTGTGAGAGTCAGCTGAGCTGAATGGGTGTTTATGTGGTTTCTGGAGCTTCTGCAGCCAGCCTCTAGTGGACACTCCAGGAACTGCAGTTTTTGGCACTTCTTTTCATTTCGTTTCATCTTTGACTGTGAAAGCTGAAGGACTGTGAGGATGAGCAGAAGACGTGTTACACGTGAACACGCTCAGCACATGTTTGGATCACGTATCGGCCTGACGTGTGGATTTATCTCATCAGAAATAAACATGTTGAAGTCAGTGTTACATCTGCTGTTTGAAACGTCCGAGTCCGTTTCCTGCTGTAAGTTCTCTCAGCTGGGTTTGACTGCAGTTTGATAAACACACCAGCGCTGAACGGCTTCACGTGTCCGTATTTGACATGTTCCATCTTTAAAGTGAGTAAACACGCTCTAATGTGGCTGTTTGAGCCCAGACGAGCTGTAGACGTGAATACCTCCGCAATAAATTAAAGAGCAGTTTAATTTAGCAATTTGGAGCGGTATGTTAATGTGGAGAGAAAGAGGGACTCGTGCGCTAATGCATTCAATGAAATGAAATGAAATAACATATATTTGAAAGTGTAATTTTTCTTTAACACACATTATTATTATTTCAATCCTTGTAATTGAAACTGCAATCCAGGCAACTTGTATTAAATTAGATTGTGGTAAAATTGCACCTTTGGTTTTTCAAGGCTGACTGAGTCCCTGCATCAAATGAATTTAATTATTCCTGTAGCCCATATATTATTAATCATCTATATTGATTTCTGAACTCCCAGACTGCTTGTGGATATGCAAATGCAGCCGCAGCAATATCGGGATGGGCTCATTTGCATGGGAGCCCATTATTATTTTATAAGTAAATTTTAATGTGGACTCAATTAAAACTCAGCCAGTGGAACAGCTAAATTGGCCCAAGGTATGAGCTTTCTGAGATTCATGTGCGGAGCCGGGATATATCAATTAGTAAAGATCAAACTTTGGCTTCTCTGGAGGGGAAAGAAAATGCTGGAATTCAATCAGAGCCACGGCGGCGGCGGCGGCGGCGGCTTTGACTCTCCGGGTCCATCTTTGGTGGAAACGGTCCAGGTTGTAATCAGATCTGCCAAATGGAATTATAACCCGGAAAATTCCTCCGCTCCATCACAGCTTCATCCAGGAGGGGGGTGGGGACTTCAATATTTGATCACCTTTAACGTGACCTTCCTGCTCCCATCACAGGTCACAGAGCCGCCCCGGTTTTATGGACCTCTCTGCTGGTGTGGATCTGCTCTCCGCTCAGAATCTTCTCCTCGGGTCTCTCAGTAAATTCAGCCTGACGGGTTCGATGTCAGAGGGAACGTTTACAGAACCAAACCTTCGTGATGGACCGGCAGAGTCCAGCAGGGTGGAGGTTTGAGGTCCGCTTACAGGTCTGATTGATTCTGTGTTGTTTTGGATCATACTGAGAACTGAACCAGCTCTTCTTCAGACCCGGTCTGGATCATGGACTGTGTCAGCTGTTTGTTGGATCCTCTCAGCTGGAACAGAACCTCAGCGTTAACATGATTGATCCGACTCCCCACAGAACCATCAGATCGGGTTTCTGATCCAGAGGAACCTCTCGGTGATGTTTTCTGCAGATCCTCAAACCTTCACAGTCAGAATCTGGACTCGGGTCCAGAGTCAGGAAACGTCCCCCTAAATACGATTTACTGACCCAAACAGGAGACACCCCTGACCCCCTTTTAAGGTCCTCAGATCTGAGAAACCGGACCCCCCTTTAGGTGGGCTGGAGTCCTGGAGTCCACGTGGTTCAGTCCGGCTCTGTGGTCCCGTCTGTTTTTCTTTCCACCCTCTGATAGAGACTGTTTTTCTGAGCCCGTCTCTTTCATGTCCTGCTGCTCCAATCAGAACTCCTTCCTGTGGTTCTGGTTATCAGTCCGGGTCCGAATGTTTCCCTCAGATCAGACAGAGCCGGGTCATCTGGAAGGCCTCAGGTCGGCCTTATCTCCGCTCCACAAACGGTCCCATTAAAGGACCGAGACAAAGACTTCGTCTGAGGGTCTGGACCTGGTCTCAGGACTATCCGGGGGTCTGGTGCTCGGATCAGGACCTCGGCGTTACCAATAAGTTTAAGAGGCTGTTCCTGACCTGCTCAGCAGATCTACGTCAGGTGGAGCAGATGGTGTTAGAAACAAACATCTAGTTTGGTGTCTGCGGTCCTTAAAGACCTGGTCCTGGTCCTTAAAGACCTGGTCCTGGTCCTTAAAGACCTGGTCCTGGTCCATCAAACATGGTTTTTAGGAGTGACTCTCTCACCAAATCCTCGCACACTCGGAGAAACCCGGACGTCCCAGTCTGCAGTCTGATCTGGGACCAGGCCCGGACTGGCGATAAGGAGAGGCGGGACTTGAAAAGTTGTTCTGCTGTTTCCAGGCAGACCGGTCAGGGACCGCGGCGCTGCCCTCAGAGTACACGCCCCCCTCCGTCCGATCAGAGGGGTTGGGCTTCGTCAAAATGTCGTGATTGGTCAGTTGCTTTATGGCCTGCCCCTTTTCAGCGTAAACAAGAAATCAAAGACAGAGCGCCGAGCCGGGATGATACGAGAGCGAGGCGAGAGAGCGAGGGGCGAGAGAGGGGGGCGAGCGAGCGAGGCGAGAGAGGGGGGCGAGAGAGAGTCTGGCCTAAAACCTCCACGGGTGTCAGGTGGGCTGCAGGACGCCCTAAAACGTTTGAGACCCCTCCTCAGGTAAGATCAGCTGTTGACCCACAGTTTCAGTTTGACGGTGAGTGTCAGTGTCAGCGCGTCCGTAGCTCCGATCATCAGACAAAATAAAACATTTATTTAATTATGAAGGAGGAAACATCGGTGAGGGCCGAGAGGAGGGTCCAGAGTCCTGGACTGAGTGGCGCCGTGGTCACGGTCGTGTTTCTTCACTGTCAGGTTCACAGAGTCGTTGTAGTCTCTGAAACATCGCCCCACAGAACTCCACCCTCACGGTGGAGGAGGTGGCCTGGCTGACTGGGACTCTCCCGGTCCCAGTCCGGTCCTGATCAGGTGGTCCCGGATTATCGAGGAGGTGTCCACAGAGCGAGTGTGTCGGTCCGTGAAAGAGTCTGAGTGTCTCGGTCCGTCTTCAGTCCTCCGCTGAGTGACTGCGGTTCGTGTTTCCGTTCGTCGATCTTTAACCCACTTAGAGGAGCCTAAAGAGAAGCTGTTGATTAGTTAATAGTATTGATTGATTATCGACAGCCTCCCTCTGAGCACCCAAGGATTTTTAACCTCCAAACACGCCGACATCATCAATCATCAATTATCCAGTGAACCTCCGGAGAGCTGCCGGCTTTTATGGAGCGCAGAGGAGCTTTAACCCCCCCATGGAAACGAGAGGAGGATAAATCTGGACACGAACTCCGAGCTGAGGAGCAGATTCAGCCGCTGACACGTTAACATCTTCTCTGGGAGCGACGTGAGGATGCCGGGCTCTCTCCCCCCGAGGAGCTGGCAGGAGGAGACTCCTCCGCTGCCATCGGCTTTAATCCGGTCCGACCCGCCAGGATCCTGAAACAAAGGAGGAGAGCGGAACATGTTGAACAGCCGGGTGATTTCTCAGGATGCGGGACGATCAGTTATATAAGCAGAGGAGAGGACATGAGGGAGCCGTTCAGGCCGAGGGTCACAGATAACCGAGCACAGATCCACCTGAGACAAATATAACCTCATGTTCAGGAAGTCCAGACGAGAGGAAACTCAAACAGGAACAGTACCAGGTCTGAGGGGCCCGCCTCCTGTGTGCAGTGACAGTGAAAAAAACAAGATTCAGACAGAAGACACGGTTTCACTTTAAAACACAAACTACAGACCGCTGACGGACCAGGAACCAACCGGGCCAGAACCGACGTGACCCGAGGCCTCAGTTTGATACCAGATCAAAGATTTTCTGAAGTCGAAACTTTGTGAGGATTTTAGAAAGTCAGAAACTTTCAGGCAAAACAAACATTTGAAAGAAACAGAATAATAAAGTTTTAAAGTCTTCAGAGGAAAAAGTTAAAAATCTGTGAGATGAAAAAAAATTACAGTTTTAAATCTGAAAGAAAAGAGTCGAACGTTTACGGGAAGTTTCAGAAAACTTGTTGATCGACGTTCAGTAGAATATTCATGCGGGAAAGGAGAGAAATGATCAAAGTACAAAGTCTTTGATTTTACAGACGTTAAAAATTATAACAAGAATATTTGAGAACAAAAAAAACATCTACCAGGAAAACAACGTTTTAATATAAGGAGAATTAAAAAGCAAATGTTTGAGATGATAAAGTCGACGGGAAAAGATCTTCAAAGAAAAAGAGTCACGACTTCATGGAGACAAAAGTCCTAAAATCAAAACGTCCGACAGATTCAGGAAAAAAGAGAATTTAGAGGAAAACTTTGAGCTCATGAGTCTCTGAAGGAACAGACTGTTCACCGAGTCAGAGGGACCAACACGTGATCCTCCTGGAGAGCAGCTTCATTAGGTTTCAGAAATACAATCAATCAATCAATCAATCAATCAATCAATCGATCCTGGTTTGGGGTTTTAAAGGTGGCGCTCTTCACCTGTGGCGGGTCTGGACTCAGCGGACCGACCCGCTCTCTCTGTAGCTGCTGTCTGATTTGCTGTAACCTGGTCTTCAGACCCTGATCATGTCGGACTCGTGACCCTGCACGGTCCTCTGTGTCCAAAGGTCAAAGTTCAGGGTGTAGACAGAGTTACAGTAAATTACATGGGAATGAACGGCGTCCTGATGAGCGCCCCGTGGACGCTCCCGTCCCGCCGCACCTCTCAGAGAAGAACAGCCCGATGGTTTCCAGATGGTTCTGTCGACACGTCCGTCCTCCTCACTCTCTCGCTCGCTCGCTCTCTCGCTCGCTCTGACGTGTTGTTCGAGCTGATTTTTGGCTCCCGGCTGACTCTGCTGAAGGACGCCGCAGGAAAAGAAAGAGCGGGCGGGTTTAACGGCGAGATGTATGGCGAGGTATTAATGTCTGAGAGAGCCGCGGCTCATCTGGGCTGATCCTCTCAGCGGAGCCGGGATCCACGCAGCTTAGCAGAGACGGCTTTGAGCTGCACCTCTAATTGGTCGACTTTTTATTTTGTGCAGTAATAAGAGTCTGCAGCAGCTGTCAGAGGAAACACCACAGAAGAAGAAGAAGGAGGAGAGGAAGCAGGAAGGACAGAACGCTGTAATGACCGTGGGCGGAGTCAGGTCTCAGCGTGAGGACGCTCAACATGTGGCCTGATCCGGGTCCGAGTGATGGGCTGTGTGTGTGTGTGTGTGTGTGTGTGTGTGTGTGTGTGTGTGTGTGTGTGTGTGTGTGTGTGTGTGTGTGTGTGGCCTCTTTGTTCAGCTCCTCTGAGCTGCTGTTGTGCTTGACCTCTGACCTCGTACACACAGGATATCAGTGTCATGGCCGCCCACCAGGGGTGCTCCCAGAGGATCATGGGGAAAAATCCTGCCTGTAAAAAAAAGAGTGTGGAAGTGAAGAGCAGAAAAAAGGAGGTTCAGTCCTGAAAATATGTCAATAGTTAAAAAACTCTGAGGAGTTACAGACACAACCTTTGGGGGTCTCTTCAGGACCCTGTGGGTTTGGGGTCTGGGAGCAGTAGGACTTTTGGAGATCTTTACCTCATACATAGTCCCACCATTTTCAGCCACTGAACCCGACAGCTGAGCTGAATATTACAAAAAGATTGAATTTGAGCGAAAATAAAATACCAAAGTGATCCAGATTTTTGGGCAAATTCAATAAACTTTTGGCTGATTCTTCTTTTTATTTCTATAATAATGATAATAATAATAATAATAAACACAACAACAACAAAAATAATAATAATAATAAACACAACAACAACAACAACAAAAATAATAATCATAGTAAAAATATTAGTATAAATATTAATATCATCATAAAAAATAATAATCAGAAGAATAATCAGAAGAATAATTTTAAGAATATTATTACTGTTATTATTTATGATAATGATAATATTTATACTAATATTTTCACTATTATTATTATTGTTGTTATAATAATAATAATAATAATAATGATTATTTTGTTATTGTTGTTATAATAATTAAAAATAATAATTGTTGTTGTTGTTGTTGTTATTATTATTTTTATTATAATGATTTTTGATTATTTTAATTATAATGTAATTATTATGATTGTACTATTATGATACCAGGGTGGTTCCAGGTTCCTCACAGGTCCAGTTCCTGCATCGGTCCTGCAGATGTACTTGCAGTTAAATGACCAACGTCGGTCTGAGGTCTCCATGTTCAGGATTTTGACTCGTAGTGACCAGCCCAGCAGACAGCAGGATTTGAACCGTCAGCCTCTCGTCCGTGTTGAACTTCAGTTTTCTCAGGAGCAGGAAAAACGACGTCCGTCTCTGAGGAGAAGGTTCCAGGTCTCATTCAACATGGCAGCCGCTCTCACAGGCCAAATGTTGATCCCAGGACAGAGATGGGGGGGCAGTGCCTCTGAACATGGAACCTCAGGATCTGGTTTCACTGGGGACCTGAAACTGGATGGACATTTCTGGCACATATGGAGAAGTCTGATGGAAGAACAATAAGGAAAAGCCCGGCGTATAGTCCATTAATTTCTTTTTCCCCCTCAATAAGTGAACGTAAAGTATTCGTGAAATGAGCACTAAAACCTCTTTAACAGTGTTTTCACAGCTGGCCGGCTCCCTCCTGCTGCTCGGGCAGTAAAGGTCCTTCCTGAATGAACATTAACATGGGAAGGCTGGAACATCATACTTGGCAGTCCGCGGCTGCCACTAAACACCTAGTGAACCCAGCACATAGACCGAGCCCTCCAGGAAAACAGATCTGAAGCACGGCCAGGATTTTCTGCATCAACAGGAGATTAAAAAAAAATACTGCAGAGAGGAGAGAAAAACGTTCACAGAAACTAAAGACTTCATTAGAGACCGGTTCACAGAAAACAGGTCCCAGTTTCAGGGAAGAAATCCACTCATGAGTTTGCTGTTTCCAAAGTTTACATCCTCAGAAAACAGACAAACTAAAGTCGGACGTGTTTCTCCGCTCTGCCTGATGACTCTGTGGGAAACAACTTTAATGTTACAGGAGCGTGTTCATGAGAAAAATGAGATTAAACATCAAATATCTACAAAAATCCTCCATCCCAGTTTCTTCCCTCCTAAAACATGAAGTGATTCGATGCTGGAAACACGCGTCCTGGTTTCAGAGGAACTCGCTCGTCTCTGCAGCTTTTCTCCGATATTCGGCCCCGACACACTTTAAAAATTCATTTTTTATATCACAATCATTTAAACTCCACAACAACCGTTAAAAAAACCCGGTCTGAGTTTTACTGAGTGTTGGACTGATCGACTGCACGCTGCTGGACACCTCCAGACGTCTCCTCGACCCTCCACCGCCCAATTAACCAATTTGAGCAGGTCGGCCATTAATCGAGGTCGTTAGCTGCGTCCAGGAGATCATGGCCGGGCGTGTGGGCTCACAGCTGACTAATCAGCTGATAAATCATCAAACCTGCAGAGAGAGGCTGGAAATTGAGGTCATGTGAAGTTAAAGTGGTGGAGCGAGGACACATCAGACACACAGAGGGTCTAAAGGAGGACAGAGAGAGGAGGAGAGTTCACCTCCTGCAGAGCATCGCCCAACAAAACATCTGTCCAACGAGACGATCCAGAGCTGAGTTTATTCTTCAGGAAAACAAGCCGACAGGACGGGGTTCATGTTTGAAAGATTCACCTGAAAACAAGCGTCACGATAAAATCACTGAGTAAAAACAAGAAAAACAAAAAATCACTCAGAGTGACACGATGAAATATAATAAACTGTTTTTATGGAGAAGAAAGGATTCAACAAATTTATCAGACGAAGGTTCAAACATATCTGACCAAAGCAGTGAGGGACAGTCTGAAGACCACATCAGCTGAAGGTGTTCATCCTGTTTGGGTAATGGAGGGGGGTCATTCTGCGGCTGTTTTATGGAGGGGAGAAAAAATATTCAAAAAAATATAATCACAAAAATATTTTTTTTAAATTCACAAAATATTTTCAAATATTCACAAAAATATTTTTTTAAGATTCACAAAATATTGTCAAATATTCT